AATGTACCCAACTTATACCTGAAGAGAAGGGTAATATTGCAGGAAAAATATCCTGTTTTAAAAATGTGTTTGCTGGCCCTTCCTGGTAGCACTGCAAGCTGGCTGCAGCCTCCATGTGGGTTCAATCCCTATCCCTGGAGGTGACCACATGGTGCGGCAGACCTCTCCCAACCGCCTGCTGCTCCCTTCAGCAGTGAACTTCTTCTATCTGCCTGTTCTGCTCCCCACTCTGTCTCTGTTGAAGCCTCTCACTGCCCCTGCAGCTCTGGCTTGCACCCCACTTCTGTATGCATAAATAAATAATTTTTTAAAAGTGTTTGCTTAATAGGACCTTCATGCTGCAGATTCTGAAAGACCTAAGCCAATTAAATTAAAGGATGGGGAGTTTCTCCAATTGCTCTCCTAGGATGGTGTTAGGGTCAGGAATTTCCATGGACTTGACCTCAAAGGGCACTGATTGGGTAGAGAGGTTCCAGGGGGTGGGGTGGGGAGGGAACAGACAGGTGATCAGACAGGAAAGACAGAAGCAAACTTGTGAGGAGCACTGGCACCCACTTGATGCTGTGATTATAGATATAATCTCATGGGAAAAGTATAGAAATGTTTTGTACCATCCTCTGGAAGCTGTGTTCTTGATTGGTTAGTTGCAGTATTGTCCTTTCTGGGGAGAACATGTATGTGATTACTCTTTCAGACATGTAACATATTTTTAAGGCTTGGTGGCTTGAAGAAGTGAGAGGAAGGGGAGCTCTTACTGAAATCCAGAGGCAGAGAGAGCTGTGTGAGAGAGCTACCTGAGACCTTTAAAAGAATGGATTGAGCCTACAATGATGCCACAGGGAGAAGCCTGGGAAATAAATAACCCCATCTTTCTTTCCCCCCACCCTCCCTCTGATCTTTTCCTGTGGCTCAGCATTGCCTAACTCAACAGGAAACCCCATGGGCAACAGAGCCAGGCAATAGAATCCATGTAGGTCAGCCTCTCTGGCAGAAAGCAGGGTGGAATAACAAAAAAGGAAAAAAATAGGGTGGGAGGGTGGAACGGATATACAGGGCAAGCAGGAAATTTCCAGTACAGTGCTGTTAGGTCTGTCCATTGTCTCTTTGTAGGGAAACAACATAGGAAGCTGAATTATAGTTACAAGCCTGCTCAGAGAGTATGGAATCACAAGAAGGAAATTGTTTGCCTAATGCTTTATAGTTTCTGAATAAATGACTGGATGATATTAAGATAGATTTAATGAGTTCTATTGATTATTTATCAGGGTGGCACCATCTGGGTCATGCACTGGCATAATTTAGTGTACTTAGCATCTCTCTATCCCTTTCCTGCAGTTTCATGCAGGCACCACCTCAAAACCTCATGCTGTTGCCTGGGGGATCAAGCTCATGTGATCCCATGTTGCAAGAACTAAAATAAATGACTCTTTAAATGTAATTTTAATATCAAGATATATTCCTCTGTTAAGTGTTGAGAATTTGGAGCCACCTGCTGAACTTGGAGACTGCTAAAGCTAAAATCTAAAAATTCAGTTTAGTAAATATTTCTAATAAACTTACTTTATGTTTATTAATGCTGAAGTTCAACTTAGGGTTCCTTCAATGTGTTCACATATACTTTGCAAGGTAAAGAAGTCAGTGCTTCTTACTCAATAATCTTATCATATTCGCTTTCAGTACCCACCTAGTAACAAAGGTTCTAGTCGCTGTCTGGGCCAGGTTGTAGTGGAAGGGAGAGAATCCTGGTCAGGGGAAGATGAAATGGGTGTGTATCTGAATTGAAGTTTAACAATTCCTAATAAATTCACAACAACAAGGTAGATGCTATTGCTATTGCACAATGCAGATAAGGAAACTGAGATGCTGCGATATTAAATTAACAATGTCAACACTCCCTAAAGAGGTAATTAATATAGAGACAGAATACATAGGTAAATAGGACTTTCATTTTTTAAAAATGCCTAGACCTTTTTCTATTCTTATTTTATTTTAATCACATTCTATTTTCGATAAACCAGAAGCCTCATTCCAAAGTCTTATTCTTGGATTTCTGGCAGCTTGGACATCTACCCAAATTATTGGAATTTCAGTCATTTTTCTTTTCAAAGTACTTACTTGTAGGTGGCAGTGTTACTTTCAAATCCTACTTTGCATTTTTTTCTGGGGAAGATTAGAAAAAGCCATCTGGTTAACATTATCCTGAAAAATTCTTCCTTGAGTAAACTTTCCTAAGAAGAAATTGTCAGAGCATGAGTATTAACTAGGCAGACCCCAAACAGAAAGGTTTAGAAATAGAAACTTTACATTCTGACAGGTAGAGGAATTACCTTTGTAGAAAGTTTCCTCTTTGCCCTTTTCTTCACTTATTTTGAGGAAAGAGTCTTTGAATTAAATTCCATTTCTTGGCAACATTTTTCTAGTTTTTGTTGTGATTTAACCTTGTTCATATATTGCTTACTTGCCCCTGAATTTTGAGGTCATTTTTCTGATAAGCTCTTCTAATCTAATCAGTTGTTCATTCCTACCACCCCCCACCTTCCAAATCGTGACCTTCTTGTAACAGAAATTTCCCAGAAGAAAATCTGGCAAATAATGGTTGCTTAATCATATTTGTTGTCTGAATATTGAGTTAAGTGAGTGAATAAATGAATTATTGAATGAAAACCTTCCCTCCCCCCCAGGAAAAACCACGACTGACCAAGGAGAGTAAATATGAAACTAATCTTTACGGATGAACTTTATAAATAATTGTTTGTAATATTGATTTGATTATTTTACATTTTTAGAATTTGTAATCTTCACAAAATCTTGAAAAAGCTACATATCTATATAATTTTAAATTAGAAAAATCAAATGTCCTTTGGAAGAGTGAAAAAAATATTTAATTGACTGATTATGGCTATTCTATCCATTTATTTGGAACCTACTACAAAGAAAAACATTTCATTTTCATTGCCTATAAATTATTCTTTCATTCACAAATTATATCTTTTATTTTTTTATTATTATTTTTAAAGATTTATTTATTTATTCTTTCAGAACTGTGGTACAGGGCAGAGGTCTGCAGAGGGTGAGAGGATTCACCAGAGACACAGTAGGGAGCAGAACAGGCAGATCAACGAAGTATACTGCTGAGGGAAGCAGCGGGCGGGTCAGGAGAGGTCTGCCACACCATGTGGATCTCCTCTGGGGTAGGCGGGAATCGAACTCATACGGAAGTGACTTAAACTTCTTCGTGCTGTGCTTTAACCCGCTGCGCCACTAGGGAGGGCCAATATATCTTTTATTTTTAACCCTTTACAATATTATTTTACAGCTCTCTAATTTTCAGAATAAGTTAACTACTGTTATACTAACCTGGGCTATATTGAGTATGACAAAAAAATTGAGATATTAATTGGCATTTATTTGATTCTTATTTTTATTTTCATAAAAGGGAAGTTGCAATTTCACAGATTTTGGTCATACTGATTCTATGAATTTTTGTTTCATTTTAAAAATATATTGCAGTACTTTTTAAAGTTTCTCCAATAAATCTTCATTACTTTTTAAAAGATAGCAATAATGCCATTAACCCCTCACCATCAAATCAGTCATTCACCATTCTGATCAACTAGTTACTCAAATTTATGTTGTTATAGCAATTTCTGAACTCATGAGAATCTATGGCAATAATTTCAATTTGCAATTTCTGAGGATTCTATCTAGATGAGTAAACAACTATATTTACAGTGTGTATTCATGAATTTACAACTATCTTCTCTGTTTTTGGTATCTACTAAAGCAATATTTAAGATAAATTGAAATTATATGTTAATATATAAAACAATTGTTAAAACAATCAGTTACATTTTTATTTATTTCCTTTCTATCTTTAATGCACTGTTTCTGACATGTGAAATGAAGAGCAGTGATAATTGCTAAATTTCATTTTAATTCAATGACCGCAGAATACATATACATTTTAAATGCTTATTGAACATTAACAAGACAGACAATATTCTGGGTGACAGAATAAGTCTCAATAAACTTTAAATGATTTAAAAGGCCATAAAATATATTTTCTGATGATAATGGAATTAGAAATCAGTAACAGAAAGACCTAGGAAAATCCTTCATGGGTTCTTTCTAGAGAGGCGATAATATATATGTATATAGGGAAATCAGATAGTATTTTGAAATAAAGGAAAATGAAAACAATATATTAAAATATGTCGCATACAGCTAAAGCAGTACTTGTCCCATATTATAAAACAAGAACTCAAATAATTATGTTTCTAGGTTAAGAAATTGGAAAAACTTTAAAATTAAAAAGGAAATCATAAACATGAACAGAAATCAAAGATATAGAAAACAAAAATGAAGTAAAACTAGTTTTGTGATTTGAAATTGTAAAGCTGATAGGCAAATTGAGCAGAAAAAAGAAAGATGAAACTACTCATTTCGGGAATGAGGGATGAGATTCTGTATGTAGTAAAAGGACAATAAAGGAATATTAACAGTTTTCTATCAGTCAACTAAACATTTTAGGTACTTTCACAACTATTAAAAGCTCACTTAAGTAGAAATATTAAATATTTGAATTAGTGGTAACTAGTATGGTCAGGGCCGCTGAGTCTGGGTCTAAGAGAACAACAAATAAAAGTTAACATTGATCCGTGGACAAGAGTGAGGCACAGGAAAGTGAGTCTGGAATAGCTTCCTTAGCTTAGTCACCCGGTGAAAAACGAAGAATGGGAAAATATGTTTTTCGGAACAAGAGCGGCTGCACATGTATGTACTCCGACACAGCCCTTGGCGCCGGACCTCCGTGCATTGCCTAAACCCGCTATTCCAGCAGGCTCCCAACCCTTTCCTTACTGTGCTCAGAAAAGCCAAACCCGCAACCCAGCAGTCGCGCGCCTGCGCATTCTAGCAAAGCGCTCTCAGGAGGGGGCGTGGCGGCTGCCGGAAGTGTGACCTCTTGCTCCCTACTGGTGGTTTCCATCCGGGTCACGTCGCTGCTTCCAGTGTTTCAGACTGGGTTTTCTACGCCTCTTTTTGGGCGAGTTTTTGGTCTTCCGCCCCTTACCACCGCCCCCAACTTCCCATACCCTTGCTGGCCCTGCCTTTTCTAGTTTGGTTCCTCCCCCAACGTCGAGCCCGGGAGTTAGATCTCAGTCCGCATCCGGATCCGGGCCTAGCTGTTCCTCGGGCCACTCTCTCCTTTGACTCGGGCGGAAGCTACGACCCTGTGCGCGCGGCCGTCGCCGCTCCGGTCTCGGCGCTCCTAAGCGGGCGGTGCCGGTCGTCTCTCCTTAGCTCTTCCCCAACGACACTTGTGAGTTAGCGGGCCTAGGAAAGGGACACAACTATGTAGGCCCAGGGCGGGGGCGGGGCGCGGGGAACTTTTCTGAACTGTAGTGATGGGCGGGCGGGGGGGGGGCGGTGTTCGGCTAATAGCTCTTAACAAATCCCAGATTTATGGGCGGCCCCCAGGCTGCCGTACTTTTTTGAAGAATCTTAGGACAGTTTCCTTTTTACGCTCGTTTTGCGTCCTTATAATCCATCCTCTGCCTAGGGCCAAAAGAGGAAGATTGTTTTGGGACCCCTGCATGGTGTTTCAAAGGGTGGTGAAGAACTAAGGTAAATATATAGGTTAATACTTTAAAATGTAAGGCTTTTTAGTAAAATGGTTATGAAATAGCCCCAGTCCTTCACTTTGCAGTAAAATGCACAGATTACAACTCTTCTCAGATTGTTGTATACCCTTTTCCCGTTTATTTAGCCTTTGTAGATTACTCTTCATGGGCCAGAACATGAAGGACTTATGTATCTCACAACCTTGGGTTATCCAGGTTCCCTGTTTTGTTTGATCTTTCTCAGCTCTTTGCTTATAAACGGCCATTGTTTATTTTGACTGAACAGAAAAGAGAGGAAGTGTAAAACATAAGCTATTGGCAACTTGTTAATAGATGTGTGGTACATGATTTTTGTGAGGAAGAGAGCATCATAACTGACTACTAAGTCTGTGTTTGTGTTACTGGTAACATACTGTTTTTATAAATGCCATCACATTCATTGTATACTATATTCGTACAAGGCTTTAAGCTTGTACGAATTAAGCACTAAAAGGTTCATAATAGATACTGATCAGTAGCCAGTGATAATAACAATACTTTGTTGAACAGCCCCAGTTATGTTTCACATAGAAATATGCTGTAACAGATTCCATGTAAAATGGGCCATTTATCAATTATTTTAAAAATGTTCATTTGCTACCACTTAACTGAATATTTTTTAACTTTTGAATTGAAACTGATTCTTAATTAAAGGAATACCTTTTTAAAAACTTGTATATACTTTTGACAGCTGGTGTCCAGAGTTTACCAGTTGCCCTTTTTGATTTGTGGGGAAAGGAAGTGGGTTTTGGGGGATAGTAGGCATTTGGGCAAAGTGGTCAGATAATATGAGTTAGCATATTCTACTTTGAGTGTGCTTTATTTGTAGAGTAAAAGTCAAGTTTAGGACAGAAATTCCAGCTTCTAGGTTATAGGACCAAACACTATATTCCTCGGAACTACATCTTAAACTATTACTTACAGTTTTTTCTCTTGCATGATTATTAATAAATAAGTCCATGTAGTTTCCCATTGGATTAACCTGACCAAGAAACAGTTCTTAAGATTCTTTCCTTAAGGCAAGAACTAATGTAACAGTTTCAAAACAGTTCAAAATTCACCTCAGTTACTCAATGCTAATGTAAAGTACTGAGAAATTGATAACTTTTAAGGTAAGAAAAGCAGGCTACCCCCAATCGCTGAATTTTGTTATTAGATTTCTCACCCCTGGTGCTGCAGTTAATTTGGACTAATATTTTGTACAGATAATTCTGTAACTAGTAAAGAAGCCTTTAATTCAGAATATAAAGAGAAGTTTAAAATTTTGTGGAAGTCATCTTAGTCTGGTAGGGTAATAGTTTCGCACAATATTCTCTGAAACTACATATTCTGTTTTAAAAAGTCTCTCATCTTGTTTGTGATAGATTATTTTGATGTCATTTTTATCTTCCGAGCTAATGTTGAAATGTATTAGGAAAAATATTAGTAAGAGAAATTAAAATGTATGGGCTTTTGGTTTACTTCCATGTTTTTAGATAAGCGTTTATTTTGAACTTAGGGATAGCCTGACTTAAATATGTCTTCCTTAAAGTAAACTTTCACTAGGACTTATTGTAGACTGTTAGACCTCAACTATTTTGTCATTTAGCTTTGTAGAACACTTTCGGAACAGAAGACCTCTTTTGACTTGTTCTTAGTTTGGATCTGTGTAGTGGGATAGAAATGAAGTCTGAACTATTATGTCATTTGAGCCTTTAAATTTGAATGGATGTGTTTAGGATCATATTTGGACGCAGAACATAAGCACAAGCATATTATTTACCAATATAAAGACAGTGTGTAGAATCTTAATTAAATCTGAAAATAGTTTAATCCAATTTAATTTTCTGAATACATTTCTTCCCTTGTTCAGATCTATAGTATTTTGTACAGATCATTTTGTATTTCAACAAAATGAAACATCAAGCAATATTCATTATAATGAATTCCAATTAATATATTTAATGTCATTTAATGTAATATTTAATGTTTTCTCATAAATGCTATGCAATGGAAGTTATGTTTTTGGAGAGTTGGTTCAGGGAAACAAAGTGAAGACAACTAAAAAGAATGTGAATTTAGGCAAAGGTTAGAACCAGGTATTGGCTGCCAGTCTTTAATTTGGCATTCTATAATTGTTAAGTGTACTTTTAATAAAAGAATGCTTCAGAATCCTGCTTGTTTAAAAATAATTCATCCATTTTGTCAGATAGTGTAAATTCTTTAATATAAATCTGCTTTAAAGAAAATTGGCATAAGAGGTAAAGACTTGCTGAAGAAAATTAGTAAACTTAGTTTTGGAAGTTACACTTTGTCTATAGTCTGAATTAGATTTCAGGTTCTTGGGATGAGATCTGATGATGGCCAGAGACAATTCTTAGTCTGTTGTGAATCTTATTTTTGTGGTCAACCTAGGGAATTTTAATTGTACAGAATTGAAGGGGAAAAATAAAAAAGCAGCAAGGGACAATGTATGTGTGTGATTTGTTTCTTCCCAGATCTTCCTCTTGTGTTGTCTCCAGCTTCAGTTTACCCACCATCTGTTCTCAATCTCCAGAGGCAATTACAATTTTTTTTTGCCATGTCTTTTCTGCTCAAGGTATTATTTTTCTCTGTTCCAAAACCCAAAAATTTTGTATAGCTCATTTTTTGGATTGATACCCTCTTTCATTATAAATTATGATGTATATAAGTAAGTAAATATATAGCATACTATAATAATGCATGTAACCTATAAATGCAATATGTGGTAAATGACGTATAATGAATATATTATGATTTCTTATATGTCACAATAATCACTTTATATTATGAGAACCAAGTAGGTAACTTTCTGTATTTCTTTTTGAGTGTTTTTTTTTTTTCTTGTTACTTTATTAAGTTTAGAAAATTACTTTAGTAATTTTTAAATTTTTTAACTTACTGTTTTGTTTTTATAATTCTGCTCTGTTAGCACAACTCTGCTCTGTGGTCAAGTGCAATTTGGCCAATTCTCCTCTTTCTCTCCTTATTTTATTTGAAACCTGTCTTGCTCTATTTTGAACTCACCACCATCCTGGAAAATTCCTATTTAATTGGATTCATGAGAAAATGATAAATATTAAATGACATTCAGTACATTAATTCATTATAATGAATATTTATGTTTCATTTTGTTGAAATATAGATACATTCTGTGTCAGTCTCTTAAATTACAGGTTTTCTTTTTTTTTTACAGATTTATTTATTTGTACATACAGAACTGGGGTACAGGCCAGAGGCTCAGGGGCGGCGAGAGGCTTCAACAGAGACAGAGTGGGGAGCAGAACAGGCAGATTGACGAAGTACACTGCTGAGGGGAGCAGCGGGCGC